ATAAAGAGCAGAAGAGGAAAGATCAAGAGAGGGAGACAGAGAAAGCGAAGGAACAATTAAATGGCAAAGAAGAGAAAAAGAATAGCGTCTTGTCGAAGTGCCCGATGGAGCCGCTGGTAAGAGAACAGGTGTGGCGGTCACCTGCCCGAGACCCTCTCCCTAAGGCCATTGTCCCGCATTCACACGCTTGACTGTAGCTCTGTTACGTCTGAGACCCCCGATCAGACGTCGTAACCGGGTCCTTTTCAGGTTTTTTGCCTGTGGATGGGCGGGGGATGTGCCAAACTTAGAACCACCCTGTCCTCAGCCCCAAGAAGCTCTGGTAAGGTAGTGGTTATGGGCTGGCTGCTAACCTTAAGGTCGGCAGCTCAGGTAAAGATTTACAGCCTCGGAAACCGTATTCAGGGTAACTCTGAGTCTGAACCGCCTCCACGGCACATAACCACCACCCCTCAGACCCAACCTGGCGTCCTCATCCTTGTCTTAGAAGAGAAGAGCGCATCGTTTTCCACAAGTATCCTGGAAATGGACCATTTCCCATTCTTATCTCGGTCCAAGCACTTGAATCCCAGTGCACAGACCCGGAATTTATATAGTGTGTGCTTTGGGCGGCTTGGTTCTTTCTTCGTGGGCCATATGGTTAGCTGAGGCCCTGGTGTGGCTCTGTAGGATAAGCATTGGACCTCAAAGTCTGTTTGAACCATAAGGTCGCGGGTTCAAACTCACCAGCCGCTCCTCAGAAACCATATACAAGGTCACTATGAGTCGGAACATTGTATGACACTTAACAACAGTGGTTAACTACTTGTATTGTTTCTGACGGTCACTGAGCCCTAGGGGATGGCCACAAAGTTTAAACGGAGAGGACTCAGAAACCAGTCATTGTTGGGGTCAGTTTGATGTTGACTATTCATGAAATTCTTGGCTGCCTGCCTCCTTTGCCCAGATCTGCTTTCTAGTTCTACACTACTGGAACTAATAGAGATTTAATATCTAAAACACAGACTACGTAGATCCATTTATGGTTAAAGGAATCAACTATTACAAAGAATGGTGCTCCAAATCACACTTCATGTCAGAAGACAGTAATTTCTTGTGATTATAAATGTGAGGATGTATATTTAACTGAAAAAAAAAACAAAACAAAACAGATGATCAAGCACAGGTGTTGTTAAGTGCTTTCGAGTTGGTTCTGACTCATTTGTTGTTGTTAGGTGCCATCAAGTCGGTTCCGACTCACGGGGACCCTATATAGGGTTTTCGAGGAGCAGCTGTAAGTTTGAATCGCTAACCTTTGGTTCAAATGACCTTGTAGTCCAGTGCTTATCCTATAATGCCACACCAGGACTCCATGGGTGACTAGGAGGCTTAAAGACAGATTGTGTTTGGAATGGGGGTATTATGGTGGTGGTTTAAGTTGGTTCCAACTCATAGTGACACCGGGTTTTTTTGAGGAGGGCTGATAGGTTTGAACAGCTGACCTTTTAGTTATCAATCCAGTGTTTATCCTGCAGCGCCACACCAAGAGTCCTGCTTTCATATGGTGGTGGTGGTTATGTGCCGTGGAGTCAGTTCCGACTCATAGAGACCCTGTACAAGGTTTCCGAGACTGTAAATCTTTACGGGAGCAGAAAGCCTCATCTTTCTCCCGTGGAACAGCTGGTAGTTTCTAACTGCTAACCTTGCGGTGCACAGCCCAATTCGTAACCACTACGCTACCAGAGCCATATAGATCATTTTAAAAAGGGGGAAAGAGACAGTCATTCTATTTCTATTTGTTAGGTTGTTGTTTTTAGGTGTCATTCAGTCAGTTCCTATTCATAGTTACTCTATGCACAACAGAAACAAATACTGCCTGGTCCTGCACCATCCTCAGATTGTTAAATTTAGCCTATTGTTGCTACTACTGTGTCAGTCCATGTGGTTGAGGGTCTTCCTCCTTTACAATGACCCTCCGCTTTACCAAACATGATGTTCCTCAAGGATTGGACCTTCCTGACATGCCCAAGTATGTGAGACGAAGTCTTGCTGTCCTCTCTTACAAGAATCATTTTAGATGTACTTCTTTCTTATAAGACAGCTTTGTTCTAGCAGTCCATCGTACTTAGCCAACACCATAATTCAAAGGCTTCCGATTCTTCTATGGTCTTCCTTCTTCATTGTCTGATTTTCACATGCATATGAGGCCAGGTGGAATCATTGATGGACTCAAGTGTGGCAGTGGTAGTGAGGTTGGCCCAGGATCGGACATTGTTTCGTTCTGCTGTGCATTGGGTTGCTGTGAGTTGGTTCCGACTCGATGGCACCTGACAACAATTAGGTAACTGAAAAAACAAGACTTGGGTAAGGCATACGTCAATCCTCAAAGTGGCATTAGGATTACTTTTCTCCAGTAATCCAGTCTTAATCTAACATCGACACTCAATGTTCCAACAGAACCAGAAGCAATTTATAAACTTGCTGTTGTTTTGAAACCAGTGCCATTAAAGAATGAGCTAGTGCACATATACTCTGCATGGATGGAGCTGCCAATTGAAATGGACTGGATGGGAACTGTTGTTTTTGTTTGTTTGAACTATCAAAGACGATTTCTAATGTAATTAGTTATTTCTCCATTAAGCTGTTTGGAAAACAGAATTCATTTTTTTGTGAGCAATCAGGTTGTATTGTTGCTCATTTAGTACTGCTTAAATAGGTTTGCATCCTAGAAACAAATTTTCTGAGCACTGTGAACATCCTAGTTCAGCCTTCACACCAGCCTGCACTTGCCTCGCAATCAAGATTTGTAATAAAACTGATGTGTTGGTGGAACGCATCTTTCTCAAATTTACTTCTAGTTCATCAGTTTTCAAAATAAATCCTCGTTCATTTTTTAAACTTTTTATTGTGAGTTGAGTGAAGATTTACAAACAAGATAATCAGTTTGCTTTCAACAAATCATATACATTGTTTCATCTCAATGATTGCAATCTCCTCCATGTAGCAACAGTAGTCTGCTTTCTCCTTGTGGTTGTTGTTGGTGGTTATGTGCCAGGGAGTTGGTTCCGACTCATAGCGACCCTGTGCAGGGTTCCCGAGTTACCCATGTACAAATACCTCTTTCAAATCATGTATTTGTGGGATATGTACGTATATATCTATATCCCACTCTTTTTAAAGTGCTCAAGAGCAAAGATGTCAGCTTGAGGACTAAGGTGCACCTGACCCAAGCCATGGTATTTTCAATAACCTCATATACATATGAAGGCTGGACAGTGAATAAGGAAGACTGTAGAAGAATTGATGCTTTTGAGTTATGGTGTTGGAGGACAATATTGAAAGTACCATGGGCTGCCAAAAGAACAAACAGATCTGTGTTGGAAGAAGTACAGCCAGAGGCTCCTTGGAGGCCAGGATAGCCAAAACTTTGTCTCTCATACTTTGGACATGTTGTCAGGAGAGACCAGTTGCTGGAGAGGGATATCATGTTTGGTAAGGTGGAGGGGCAGAGAGAAAGAGGAAGACCCCCATTAAGATGGATTGGTAAGGTAGCAACATCAGTGGGTTCCAGCATGGCAACAATTATGAGGTAGCCCAGGACCAGGCAGTGTTTTGTTCTGTTGTGCATCGGGTCACTATGAGTTGGTATCGACTGACTTGATGGCACCTAACAACAACAACAATTCTACTCTGCCTCCCTTACCCATTCAGCCTGTGTCCCTCTCTGCATATATCTACACCTGTGCATATATCTACACACTGTTGTGCCAAGGTTGTGTATATATCTATATTTACCTCTATCCCTTGTAGCCTTTGCATACCTCCCTGTGCCTTCACCTATCTTCATCATTCTTCTATATCATTGTTCTGCCAAACCTTCCTGTTCTTGTATATTGCTCTCCCTGTCAGCCAAGCTAACATGTCTCTGCCCCTTAACAAGTGAATTACACTATCTTCCGGCCCACCCCCGGTAATCATCAAAGAATGTTTCTTTTAATCTGAAAACCTGGAGCTTTTAAGATTCCAGGCACTACACTACAAAGTAGGAGCATTAATACACTATTAGGCAAATTAACTGAGATGACTTAAAGAAACCATGACCCTAAATTTCTAAACTAGGGAACCAAATCCCATGAGGTGTTTGGATAACATAAATAGCATCATTTGTTGTTGTTGTAAATCTAGGCCCATACAATTTAAAATATATGTATTTTTTTAAAAAAATTATTTTATTTTTGGTGACAGCATACATAGCAAAAGAGGTTTTTCATTTAACAATTTTCACACATGTTGTCCTGTGACACCCAGTGTACCGAGGAGACATATTTTATCCTTGATATGAAGAATCCTTCCCTATTTGGTTGGAATTTGGGTCAGCTTCTTCCATAACCAAGGGTCCAGTAGATCAGGTTGTAGTAATTTACATCTGTTTCCTATATCATACTTCTTTATCTTCATCTGGTTAAGTTCTGGTCAGCCAACCATCCACGTTAGGTCCAATGGATACTATCTGCGAGTCTGGGAGTTCTCGCATGCCTCCCCCCTCTTCAAATCTGGGAACTGCTTCATTCTTAACTCTAGCCCACGGTGGCTAGATCAGCGTCTTTAGGTTCAAGAGTTTACTCATCTCCCTGAACTTCAAACTAGCCAGCCTATCTTCATCTTTCTCATCTCAAGGTTGTTGTTGTTGTTAAGTGCCATTGAATCAGCTCCGACCCATAGCGACCCTGTATAGATAAGGTTTCCGAGGTGCAGCTGGTGAGCTTGAACCGCCAGTCTTGCAGTTCAAACGGCTTTGCAGTTTGGCACATTAACCCACAGCGCCACACTAGGACTCCTGTCTCAAGGTTAGGTGCATACAATTTTTATGAAGTTCTTTTCTGTCTAGCAATTTTGTGAATATTACTAGGCCCTACCACAGCTGCTCTGGGAGACAAAAAAAGAAGAAAATAAAGCCGTGCCCTTCAGGAGTCTATTAATCACAAGGGTTTATTGATTTATCTTTTGTTTGACAGGAGAAAAATAAGCAGATTATTGTACTGGGCCTGGATGGAGCAGGAAAAACCAGTGTCCTCCACTCCCTAGCTTCAAACAGAGTCCAGCACAGCGTGGTACCTACCAGGGGTTTCAATGCAGTGTGCATCAGCACCGATGACAGACAGATGGAGTTCCTGGAGAGTAAGCCCATCTCCCTCATTGCAGTTACAGGGTAGCTGTATTTCGTTACATCTTAAATCAAATATGATCTCATTAACATTGGGTCCTTGTGAAAAGTAACACTGGACCAGCCTTTTCTAGATGTTAGAATGTGTGTGTAGTTTAATACTAAGATATTGTGGTTGCTGTTAAGTGCCGTCAAGTCAGTTCCGACTCTTAGTGACCCTGTATAGGGTTTCTGAGGAGCGGCTGGTGAGCTTGAACTGCTAATCTTGCGGTTCAAACCTACTTTGCAGTCCAGCATATTAACCCACAGTGCACCTCAAGGCTATAGCATGGGACAAGCAACTTTCTGTTCTTTGTCGTTTCTATTTTTAGCAGTGCTGGTGGTAAAGAGCAGTTTTGAGGGAGTCTTTACCACCTCTCCTAATATCTCCAGGAGCCTCCCTTGTGGTTAGCAGTCCCGTGCTGATCTGATAATATGCTGTTGTTGTTGTTAAGTGCCATCGAGTTTGTTCCAACTCATAGTGACCCTGTATATAGAGTTTCTGAGGAGCAGCTGGTGGGTTTGAAACACCGACCTTGTGGTTCTTAGTCCATTGCTGATCCTAGAGTGCCACACTAGGAGTCCACCTATATACTATTGACTCCTAAATTTCTATAGGAGTTGCTGTACACTGAATGGCCATTTGAAAGCTTATGCTAGTGACTCCTAAATTTATGTATCCACTCCAAACACATCCAAATATCTTCTGATATGGCCACTTGAATACTAAAACAGGATGATGATGTATCCCCAAATCTCTTTCTTTTGCTGTAATCCACTGGTACTCACCTATCAAGTTGCTTAAGCCACAAAAGAGAAAACAAAACCAAAAACACCCCCCCCAAAAAAAAAACCCCAAAACTAAAGAATGATTAAATTACAGGGGAAAAAATGGACAAACCTACTTTTTTTTTTTTTCTTTATTTTTTGGGGGGCAGGTACGCAAAAACACTCAGGAATATATAATCATTTAAGCAACAAAAGGGCACATTCTTCAAGCCAGTCTCCTGGCCACCAGCACACAGCCTCTTTCCATGAGTCTTGAGTCTTCAGCAGCTCTCTTTCTCCATGCCATCATCTCTGCCTCCATCTCTGGTGTTGCTGCTTTACGAGTTAGGGTCCCACATTCTGCTCATGCTCGTCTCTCTTTTTTTTTTAAAATGTTTTATTGTGTATTGTGTGATAGTCTACATGGGGGAACATTAGTTTTGCATTCATTCCATCATACATTGTTTCATTGCCATAGTTACCATCCCGTCCATGCATCATCACCCAACCAAAGGGTGTATCCTGCAATCCCGCCTGCCCTCCCCTCACGGTCCTCAGCACACAGCCCCTCTCCCTCTCTGGATCCCTAGTCCCCAGCCACTCCATCTCTTCACGTCATCCTCTCTCTTCACGTCATCCTCTCTGTCTCAGTCTCAAGCTTCACTGCTCCTCTGGGTGGGGTCCCGCTCTCTGTTCTTCTCCATTGATGGTCCCAGGGCCCTTCGTTCCTAGACTGAAAGGTTAATCACTCTCCTCCTTGCTATAAAAATGTCCACCTTTACATTTCCAGTCCTCACAATCAGTCCTGGTAACAATTATTCACCCTTGCTTCCCAAGGGACCCATCTGCATTTCTTTTCATCTGCCCTTCCTAGACACATAGGACACTCTACCATCTTCCCCGCCCTGTGGATCTAGGTTCCCTCTTGAAAGCTTGTAAGCCAGTCACTTCTTGCCTTTGTATCCTTTCTCCCATTTTTGGTTAGTCAAAGTTCAAAATGTCCATCCCTATCTACTCTTTGTGTGGAGGGGGTGGGAATAATTCTTGGAGCAGGGATTTGTTTCCTCTTTTGAGCTACTGCATTTATAGGTGGATGTCCAGTTTATCAAATTTTATCAGATGATGCTTTTTTCCTCTTTTTTCTTCTTCGGGTTGAGCTCTGTTCGTCCCATCATTGGAGCCATGGCAAGTGGGTATCATCTGACAAACCTACTATTGGAATGAGAGATTTAAAATTTTTTTGTAAAAAAAAAAATTAGCAAAGATACACAAGAATGAATTTAGCAAGTTTGATGTACTGGACAATGTAAAATTCTGCATCCAAATAGAATATGCATGTAACATTTACCAAAACTGACCACATACTGGGTCCTAGAGCAAGTCTTAACAGATTTTAAAGAGGCATCATTTAGACCATAATCTCTAGCTACACTGCAGTTGAGTTAGAAGTTAATAACTAAAAGATAAATTTAAAATCCTTATGTAGGTAGCTGTCATGATGTCTACCGCCTACTTTGAAATGGTTCCCAAAGAGAAAGCATGTGTAGGTGGATATAGAAATAGATGACCACTTACGGCGAGGTGTTAACAGTGGTGAATCTAGGTGTGAGGTAGACACAGTCCTGGTGTGGCACTGTAGGATAAGCACTGGACTGCAAGGTGGGTTTGAACCTCAAGGTCAGTGGTTCAAACTTACAAGCTACTATACAGATTGCTATGAGTTGGAACCAACTTCATGGCATTTCACAATTGTGTTTTTAGTGGAGGTTTACAAAGCAGTTTAGCTTTCCATTCCACAATTTTTATTCAAGTTGCTCAGTGACATTGGTTACATTCTTTACAATGCAAGAACATATTCATTATTTTCTATTCTGGTTCCTTTTGCAATTTCATTTGATCGTACTTTCTTCCTCTACTGTTCTCTGTAGTTGGTGGCAGTGAACCTTTCCGTTCTTATTGGGAAACATACCTGTCCAGGGGATTACTGCTGATCTTTGTGGTCGATTCAGCAGATCACAACCGATTACCTGAAGCCAAAAAGCACCTTCATCAACTGATTGGAACAAACCCTATCCTTCCTCTGGTAGTGTTTGCAAATAAACAGGTAAAAATTGGTGTGAATAGAGATAGTACTAACAGGTTTATTGTGAATACAGAAAATGGAAATGTGTCCTTTTAATAACTAGATGTTCAACAATGGACTGTATATTCTATTCAATTTGTGCTTATTAGTGGATGTGGAACTTTGGAATGTGACTTCTTATAATCCATAATAATGAGTTTATACCATAGGATTTATATGTTATGACTTCTCCATAATATTTTTTTCATTGAAAAATTAGGAACTCCTCCGGCAAAACTATCCTTCCTTCAAGAATAGCAGTGAAATTAAAACATTCTAGAGAAGCAGAAGCTAAGAGAATTCATATCCACCAGGCCAGCCCTACAAAAAATAATACTTCTATTATTGTTGTTAGGTGCCATCAAGTTGGTACTGACTCATAGCAATCCCATGCAGGATAGAACAAAGCACTACCTGGCCCTGTGCCAACCTCACAGTTGTTACTACATTTAAACCCATCGCTGCTGCTGCCAATCCATCTCATCAGGTGTGGGGGAGGTAGCTTCCTCTTTTTCTCTGATTCCTACTTTACCAAACATGATATCCTTCTCCAGGGACTGGTCCTTCCTGATAAATATGTCTGAAGTATAAGAGATGAAAGTCTGGCCATTCTGGTTTCCAAGGAGCATTCTGGCTGTACTTCTTCCAGCACAGATGGGAGGAAAAACACTCTAGAGAGTAAATCAAAGCTATACATTACAAGAATGATCCCTAATAAGGGGAAATGCACAAGGCCTAGTAATAAGGTATTCATGATTAATAATTCTCAATGTTTTGTCCTTCATGTATTTTAGTAACAAGTACATAAAATAAAAGAATAAAATTATGTTAATGGGAGTATGAAATATGAAGACATAATGATAACAAAAGGTGGGAGGGAGAGGAATGCGTTGTAGAATTTCTTTTAATTTACTAAGTTAAGTTGGTTCCAACTTACGCTAGAATGTTATAAATGCAAGCTTATAAGTGTAATACTAAGAAAAATACTTTAAAAACATGCAAAAAAAAAAAAAAAGAGAAAAGGGAGCCACAAAGGCTCACTGCAATAAACCAACAAGACATAAAAGCAAACAGTACTAAAGGACAAAGACAAAGAAGACTTAAGACACACATACACAAACAAATGACAAAAATGGCACTATTAACCCTTTCATATCACTAATCACAGTGACTATAAATGGACTGCGAATCTCAAGGTCAGCAGTTTGAAACTACCAGCTGTTTGTTACATGGGAGAAAGATGAAGCTTTCTGCTCCCTTAAAGATTTCCAACCTTGGAAACCCTGTACAGGGTCGCTATGAGTTGGAACTGACTCCATGGTACATAACCACCACCAAATACTCCAATAAGAAGGCAGAGAGAGACTGAATGGATTGAAAAAAAATGTGACCCAGCTATATGCTATTTATAAGAGCCACACCTTACACAAATAGTTTGAAAATGAAAGGATGGAAAAAAAGATTTTCAAAAAAGAGCTGGGTGGCAATCTTAATATCAAAGTAGACTTTAAGACAAAATCTGTTAGAAGCGATAAAGATGGACATTATCAGTTAGAAGATTTAACAATTGTATATGCACCCTTTGTATAGGGTTTCCAAGGAACAATTGGTGGTTAGCAATCCAATGCTTAGCAATCCAATGCTTAGCCAACCGTGCCACACCAGGACCCAACATCGGGCACCTAAATATATAAAGCAAGCACTAATTACACTAGAAGGGATAAACAATACTACAATAATGGTTATAAAATATTGTAGTACTACAGAAATAGTCCTATAATAATAGTTGGAGACTCCAATACACTACTGTCAATTTTAGAACATTTAGAAAGAATATCAGCAAGAAAACCGAGGACATGAATGACAGACACTATGAAGCAACTAGATTTAAAAGACATAAATTTGTGGAAAAATTTCACTATCTTTTCATTTCATTTCCCCATGAACTTTTTGAAGCCCCTCTCTACCTCATATTTTAGTGTTTGGTAAAGTGGAGGGTCAGCGAAAAAGGGGAAGACACCCCACCCCCAGCAAGATGGATTGGCACAGTGACAGCATCAGTGGGCTTAAGGGTAACACCAATTATGAGGATGATGCAACACTGGCAGTGTTTCATTCTGTTGTGTGTAGGGTCACTATGAGTTGGAACCAACTCAACAACACCTAACAACAACAGTATCTAGACGACTCCACCCCAAGCAGCGTAATATAGTTTCCAGTGCACATGGATCACTGACCAGAATAGACTACATTAAAAAAAACAAAAAACAAAAAAACTTTTTATTGTGAATCGAGTGAAGGTTTACAGAACAGATCATCAGTATTATATTCAACAAATCATAGACTTTACTTCATTATATGGTTGCAATCCCCTCCATGCACCAACAGTTAACAGCATTTACCTCTATTCACTCCAACCACTGCATTCCTCTCTGTGTCTCCCACCACCCCCATCTTTCCTCTGCCAACCTCCCTCCATTTGTATATTGCCTGCCCTGTCTGTCACCCATGTCAATGCATGTCTACCCTCGAGTGCGTGTATTATTTCCTTTCCCCCAACCATCATAGATTGTTTGTTTTATCAAGAAACCCCCCCTCTTTTTTTTTAAATCCCCTTTGACATATAAAAACAAACAAGCAAAAAACAAACAAAAAACCATGCAGGGATATATAATCATTTAAACAACAACAGAGCATATTCTGGAAGCCAGCCTCCTGTTTGTCAGCACACAGCCTTTCTCTTTCCATCAGTCTAGAGTCTTCAGCTGCTCAATCTTTCCATGCCATCACCTCTGCCTCTATCTCTGGTGTCTCTGCTTCTCTGGTTAGGGTCTCACGTTCTGCTCATGCTCTTCTCTCTTGATGGTCCTAGGGTCCTCTATTCCTCCACTCTTTTTTTTTTTCCTCTACTCTTTTTGTTACATAACTTCTACCTTTACAGTTGTGACCTTCACAATTAGGCATGATAATAAGTACTCAGTACTGAATCAATTAATTCCATCCTCTTCTTTCACCAGAGCCATCTAGACAACAGTAAAACTGTTCATTGGGGATTCTACGCTTCCCCTCATACTCTGAAATTAAACTCTCTCTTGAAAACTTGTAAGCCAGCCACTTCGTGCCTTTATAGCTCTACCCTCCTCCCCTGTTTTAGGTAGACAATGTCTAAGTTGGCTTAGACATCTCTTAGAAGAGATGAACTTTTTGCCCTGGATAGACAGATTTCACCTATAAATATACTTACAGAACTACCAAGTCAAAATGTGGAGAAAGAGATGAATTATCCCCAAAAAGAATTCAAGTGAAGGATGGTTTTCCAGATTTCCAGGATTCTATGCAACACTCTTCCAGCAGGCGAAAGCTAAGAGTGAAGAACTTGCAGCTCTTAGTTCACAGAAGCCTGAAAATGTGATGGCAAAGCCGATGGAGTTCCTTTGCACCCAAGCTGTCTACGAGAGACTGCAGCATGCTGAACGAAGACGATCTGCAGGGTTTTACAGGCAAAACTTGGAAGAGCACAGCCCTAATGGCTTAACATCTGATAACTCTGATGGACAAGGAGAAAGACCTTTGAATCTCCGAATGCCTAATATACAGTACAGACAGCCCCATCATTTTGAAGTGGATGGGGAGATTACAAGACTTTACTCCAGTGAGGCAAAGTCCTACTCATCAGACAGCCTTGGGATTTTAAAAGACTACCCTTACTCAGCTTTTACCTTAGAAAAGAAGATCATCAAACCAGAGCCTGAAGATTCAAGATAGCTGTGGAAACGGCATCAGATGTAAGGATCATGCTTAACCAATGTTACCTCATTCAGCTCAAACAGATTTCATAGCTAAACCCTAAGGACTGGTGCAGCAGTCTGTGGAAACCAGGAAGAAATGAATAACAGCCACAAAAGAGAAAATGGAGAGTGTTGCAATTTGTAACAGAAATAATTGATCCTTTCACATTCCTGTGTAAGTCCGCCTGTGTATGGCTTACATATTAATATTGTAAGCATTCATTATTTAAGAATGTACAATGTATTTGTGTAATTTATAAAAGTGAAATCTAGATGTTGAGACCTGCTTGGTCCAATATATGTGGATGCAGTTAATTTTACTTGAAATTTTGTTTCAGTGTATTTAGCATAAATATGTCATAGTGTAGAATCTTTACAGTCATAAATAAGAAAGTTTAAGTGATATAGTTATTGGCAAGGTTGCAGTGACTCAAGATTGCCAAGGAAACTTGTAGGGATTTAATATCTGATAAAACCAGTGCTGTTTAACAGAAGCTATATAGCTAGCATTCATATAATATCATTTTTGCTGATTTAATCAGTGCATAAGGAGTTCTGGTAGTGTAGTAGTTACAAATCAGGCTGCTAACCTCAGGGTCAGAGGTTTGAAACTACCAGCTGTTCCATGGGAGAAAGATGAGGCTTTCTGCTCCCGTAAATATTTATAGCCTCGGAAACCCCGTACAGGGTTGCTATGAGTTGGAACCGACTCCACAGCACATAACACAAACAAATGTCTAAGTTTCATGTCCCTATCAACCCTTTGTACAGAGGAGATAGGTTTGATCCTTCATGTGAAGACTCCTTCCCTCTCAGTTGATATTTTGAGCTACTACATCCATAAGTATCGGTCAAGTTCATCAAATTGTAGTAATTTGCACTTGCTTCCTTTATTAAATTTCTTCATCTTCCTCTAGTCAGGTTCTGATCATCAAGTCATCAAAGCTAGGTCAAAATGGATACTATCTGCAACTCTGCATATTCTTATGCAAATAGACAACGCACTAAGTCACAAAGAAGGTCTTTTTTGATAAAATTTAGAAGATTGAAATTGTACAAAGTATTTTCTTTGGCCTCAACAGCAGAAAAACAAACAAACTAGAAAATACACAAAAATATCGATATTAAACAGAACATTATTAAACTACTGGAGTCCTGGTGTCATGCTGCAGGTTGGTGGTTCAAGCACATCAG